GTTCAACAACAATCTTCTCTTCCCCTTCTTCTATGACATCCTTCTCTTCATCATCTTCATTTTTTTCTTCCATGTCTTCTTCCTCAACAACCTTCTCTTCCTCCTCCTCTTCAACAATATCCTTCTCTTCATCTTCCACTCTCTTTTCTTCATCCTCTTCCTCCTCATCGCCACTCTTCTCTTCCTCTTCCAAAGTATCAATCACCTTCCTTTCCTTTTCTTCCAATATAATTATTTGCTCTTCTTCATCCTCTCCTCCAGTATTAATCAATTCCTCATCTTCCTCAGCCTCTTCTTCAAACCAAACAATTTTTCTTTTATTCTTCTCATCACAAATTTTATTTTCCTCCTTTTCCAGAATATTTCCTTCCACTTCTTTTTCCTCCTCTTCACAATTTTTGTCTTCATCTTTCAAAATTTCTTCCCTTACTTTTTCTTCTTCCACCTTCCTCTTCACTTCATTAATTTGAATCAAAATGTCATCCAAATGTAAATCAAGCTGAATTTCATTACTTTTAAATGAAGGCTCTTCTTCTCTCTGTAAGTGCTTCGCTTCCGTAATTTGTAATCTTTTTCCTCTTGTTAATCTTGTTGTTATTAATGACTTTTGATTTTTGCCAGCATCAGTGAATGTTCTCTTTAATAAACTAAAAGAATAAAAAAAATTTTTTTGGTTAAGTGCAATTGTGTTTGGTTTCGCGAAAATAAGGGGGAAGGTTCGAACCCGTTCAGGCTAAAATTATTTTTTTTCTTAAATAAAATTAATTTGAAAACAAATTCCTAATTTTTTAAACAAAATTTTTCTTTAAAAAAATTTTTTTGGTTAAGTGCAATCGTGTTAGGCTCCCATAAAAATAGATGAGGGTTCGAACCCGTTCAGGGGTAAAACAATTTTTACTTAATAAAATTGTGTAAAAAACAAATTTTTTCAACTTTTTAAATAATTTTCTTTCAAAAAATTTTTTTCTTATTAAAAATCAATCAAATAAACTATAAAAAACTTACTTAAAACGATTATGTACAGCTTGCTCTCTTTGAATTTGTGGCCTTCTCCAAACAGGTAAATTTCCATTTCTTGTTAATTTAGAAAATGATTCGGAAGAAGTATTACAAGATTTTTGAATTGATAATGGGGGTGTATTAGCCCATTTTGTTGGAGTTAGAGAGGATGTTCGGAGACTTCTACGATTTAACATTTCGATCAAGTCTAAAAAGAAAAAAAATTTTTCTAGAAATTTTCAAAAAAAATATTTAGAAAAATTATTAACGATAATAACGAAGAAAAATATTTTTAAAATCGCTAGGGAACATATTCCACCTAAAAACAAACAAAAGGAGTTCTTTAGTTAAGTGGATTTGTGCTAGTATCCTAGTAAAAATCGGGGAAGGTTCGAATCCGCTCGGGAAAAATACATTTTTTTCTTATTAAAAAATAAACCTAAACGAAAATATTTTTAAAAAATCCCCAGAGAACATATTCCACAAAAAACACAAAAATCGAGTTGTTTGGTTAAGTGCAACTGTGTCAGGGTTTAAGCGAAAAAATGAGGAAGGTTCGAACCCGGTCGGGGAAAAAATATTTTTCTTCCCAAAAATTTAATTTAAAACAACTTTTCTTCTTAAAACAAAAATATTTCCCTTCAAAAAATTTTCTTAAACAAACATTTTTGTGCTTCTCTCCTCTCTTCAATTGTTGGAACAGCAGAAAAATTTGTTAACGCGCTAATTCCTCTATGAGTAAAATACGATGAAATGAGAGGTTCATTATTGTTGTTATTTCCTTTTTCTGCCGTTGCTTTAGCTCTAAATGTTCGATAATCAGTATCTCTTAATTTATATTTATTTTTTTCTTCTTCATTTTTTTCTTCAGAATTTGGATGTTTTTCTTCCTCTTCCTCTTCAATATTTGCATTTTGACGAAATGAAAATAATCCTGTTCCTTCCCTTAAATAATTTTTTTTAATTTTTAATTCCCCCAAATTTCGAAAAAAAAACCTTTCACAAGTAGAACATTCACAACGCAAATTTCCATCTCCAAAAAAATTTGCTCCATAATAACAAGTTATTTCATCTCCAGTTTGGATATCACGCAAAACTGTGAAAATAAATTTTTTAGAATTTTTTGTCTAAAATCAATGACAATTTTTCTCCAATTTTGTTGATGCTAATTCTCATTAAAAATTAAGAAAAAATCCAAAAAAAATTTCCGAAAGATTCTCTCAAATTCTATAAAAGTTAGGTCCTTATTGCTTTCACGAATAGTAAACAAAGGCAGCTAAGAAGCAACAAAGTCCGCAGAATATCCAAAGAAAATGTCCGGAAAAAATTTCATTGTAAGGCAATAATTTTTGGAGACATTGGAATTTTATATTTTTGAAGCTTAAGATGCCCTTCCCCTCCCCTTACGTTGGCTAACACAACTAATCTTACTAATTTCCTCCCAAATTAAAAAAAAACCCCAAAAAATTTTTCAAAAAAAACCTTTAATTATCGCTGTATGTTCTTGTGGTCCAGGAATAAATTTACAATTAGCATTACAATCATGATTAATATAAGCTGCGGGTCCAAGCCAAAGTTGAGCTCTTTTCTTTCTAACACTAAACATTACAGAAAAATCATTGACTCCTCTTTGCAATATTTTTGCTTCTTCTTGTTTTGATAATTCTCCAATAACTCCAATTAAATTTTCTATTATACTCCCTTGTTTCCAAAATTTTGTTGCAACTGTGGAAAAAATAATTTTTAAAAATTTTTTAAATTTTTTTTTGCGGACAAATTTTGCGGACAACTTCTAAAATTTGCGGACAAATGCCAAAAATGCTTATAGAAGGAAAACAAATATAACCTCACAGAACCAATGGTCCTGGCGGTTCAGAGAACAGATACAAAAAATTTCGGACCCAACACGAAATAGGTAATTACAATTCTATTTTTAGAAATGGCGGGACACTGACTCGAATATATTTTTTTGAAATAGGACAGGAGTCCATAAGGCCCTGACTATAAAATCCAAAGGAAAGTGAGGGGGAAATGCCATTTATTGCCAGTCAAGTTGTGAATCACATGAGTGCTGACACTCGTTCTCAAGGGCTCTAGGCTGCAAACTAGTGGGGGTAGTAGAAATTAGAGATCGAACTGGGCCTGGACCAAGGCCTGAGTTTTTCCTGTACACAGAGTCCAGGCCTAGGCATTTTTTGACCTTCCTGGGTTTTTCCTAGGCCTGGGTTTTTCCTAAACTAGAGGCCCAGGATCCGGCCCAGTCAATAAATCAAATCCAGGCCCAGGCTTTTCAAAAATCTCAATCCTAGTAGAAATCCATAACTATTCCCTAATTCATAAAAAGGACCTCTATTTAACCTAACTTCAATAAAAATCAAAATAAAAAACCTAATTTTCCTCCCATCCTATTTTCTCCACTATATCGAAAACATTGTGTTATAGTAAATCCAGAATGTGGATAAAACATCAACAGAAACCGCAATATCTTTAAATTTTAAAAATTAAATCAAAAAATAATTTTTAAAAAATAAATTTACGTGTCCCTCAAAATTTTCTTTTTCGAAAGCCGTTTTTGAATGTAAAAATTCTTTAACAATATTTAATGAAGAAATTGAATTTAAAGTTGTATCAAAATCTGTATTATGTACAAATTCACAAAGTAAAGTAATTAGGTTACGCCTTTCATATTCTGGTAGAGGTTTGTGTCTGAAAAATGAGGGAAAAAAATTTTTGAAGAAATTGGAGGAGATAAAAAGTTTGGAAATAAAAACGTTGGAAGAATAGAGGAAGAAAGACTCACAGAAAATAGAAACTGAAGTCCGTATCCGTTTAATCTGCTTCTTGGGGAGAAAAGCTGGTAATTCTTGCGTTCGTACCCCCAATCCTTTTTCCTTCCTCAAAGTATTAAAAAATTGTGGTAATAAAAGGCCGGGATCGATTTCAGCAAAATCTTTTGTGTTTGGGGTTAAACTTCGGCTGACGCTCCCCTCCATTTTCCGTTCTATTTTCTCATTCTTATGGAAAATATCCTAATGGTAAGGGAAAACAAGCAAAGGGGGCAAGCGGAATTTAGAAGTTTCAGCCCCAAACACAAAAGATTTTGGTGAAATCGATCTAGACATTCCCAACCAAGACAACCCCTACCAACCCAAAGTTTATCGAAAAGCTTGAAAATTTGAAAAAATTTTTTTCTCAATTTTAAAATTTTTTTCGATAATAACAATAAAAAAAATTGCAAAAAATATAACCTTATATCCATTTTATGAGTTACAAATCCCATAACAGAATCGACAAACAAAGCAGTACACATATCTTGAAATAAACAGGGAAATTAAATTTAAAAATAAACAAAAAAACCGTCATTTTCACAAAGTTCTTTTATCGACATTTGATGACATCTTGTAGGTTTTAACAACATTTATTAATTATAAAATTTAAAAGAAATTTCGAAAAAGTATCTAAAATTTAGAAAAAAAATTTTTTTAAGCAGCCAGACATTGAATTATTGGCAATGAAACAGTTTGGGGATCACTAGAGTCCCACCAACAGCGTCGACCAGCCATCTTTATTCGACTATAACTTTATTAATCTTTCATCAATTTCAATAAATCTTATATCATTCGAAAGCCCTTGATTGGCGCTATCTTTTTTCCAACTACATGGATCAAGTCCGATCACTCCATAAAAAGTTACAGCACAATAAGTGCAATTATTTGCCATTTTTCACACGTATCAGCTTATAACTTTTTAATGCCTGATCAGACTTGATTCATCCAGTTGGAGGAAAGATAGCGCCAATCAAGGGCTTTCAAAAGATATCAGGTTTATTCCGATCGAATCAATATTAAAAAAGTTATAGCCGATCAAATCCTGCTAGCTCATACTTTTGACACTGAAGTTTCAGCACTGAAACGTCCTTTTTAATTGAAAAAAGGGACGTTTCAGTGCTAAAAGTTCAGTGCCTGGGTAATTTTAAAAAAATTAAAAATTTTAGGCAAAAAATGGCTTCAATTAATTTATCAGAAAATTTACTTGTAATTTGTTCCAGTCAACATATTAATTTATTTAAACAACAAAATTCTTTGTTAAATTATTCTTTTTTGTCATCATTCGATATTACAACAATAGAAGTTAATTTAAAAGGGAATAGAAAGAAGAAAACTGAACAAGATAAGGTTTATTTTATAATTTATGGGGTTTTTGATTATTCGGATAAAAGTCCAGCTAATTGTTCGCAATTACCTGGCAATGCATAGAAAAAAAGTCCGCAAAAATAGTCTGCAAAAACTATCCGAAAAATGTTTTTAATTATTCTAATAATTTTTTTAAGATTCTCTGTTCTTCCCTTTCCAACAATTCACAATATTTAGCTGTTGGCACAACCTCCAAATTACTTTTAATTTTTAATTTAAATGAAAATAAAGAATTATCTCAACCATTTTATTGTGAATTAATCAAAGCGCCAACAAAGGTTTTTTTAATTAATTATTTTTAATTTAAATTTTTTTCTAGATTTGTTTTCTAAATAATGAGACTGTGTTGGTATCCAATAGATTTGGATCTCTGTTCAAATTTGAAATTTTTGGTAATTTTTTTTGCATAATTTTTGTTTAATTTTCATTAAAATTTGTGTTTGTCCGCAAATATTGTCCGCAATTTTTTGTTGAATTTTTTTTTTCGAATTTTTGAAACATGGACGGTTTTAAGAACAATTTTCAGAAATTTATAATTTATTTTTGAAAGTCTTCTCTTCGTTTCAAAAATTAATTTTCGATCCCATGATTCATTTAACCCTTTATATATTTTTTATTTTTTTTGAAAAATTTTTTTTAATTTTGACAGAATCCAAAATATCTGAAGGCGTTGAATTGCTTGGACATTTTTCTATGGTTTTTTAAATATAATTTACAATTTTTTATTTTTTCAGTTGTTGGATTTTTGTATTTCTCCAAATGGAAAATTTGTTTTGACGGCAGATAGGGACGAAAAAAGTTTTTTTTTTAATTTTTAAAATTAATTAAAATATTTTTTTTATTTTCTAGTTCGTATTTCTCGCTTTCCTCAAGCTTATGTTATTGAAGGATTTTGTGGGTATTTATTTTTATTATTTATTTTTTTATTATTTTTTGTCCGCAAATGTTGTCCGCAATTTTTATTTTTTTAATTTTGACATTTTTTTCGATTTCTGACCATTTTGAGCATTTTACATTTTGAAAAAAATTTCCATTTTGAAATTTTTTCGATTTTTACCATTTTGAAATATTGACATTTTTTAATTAAAAATTTTTTCAAGGTTTTGGACACTCTTCATTTGTTAAATCAATTGCTTTTTATGGCGACAATAAATTAATTAGTGGAGGTTTTTTTAATTTTAATTAAATTTAAATTAATTTTTTATTAGGAGGTGATTCAATAATTTATGTGTGGGATTTAAATTTATTTAAATGTATTTCTACAAGCTGTAAAGTTTCTGAGACGGCAATTAGAAAAGTTGGAGTTGTTAAAATTGTTGAGGTTTCTTTTGAAAAAAATTTTTTTAAATGTCAAAGTGGTAAATTTATCGAAATGTAAAAATTTTTTCGATTTTTGACCATTTTGAGCATTTTACGTGAAAAATTTTTTAATTAAAATTTATTAAAAAATTTCTTTTAATTTTCAGGAAGAAATATCAAAAGAAGGAATTATTTGTTTACCAGACCAAAGCAATTCAATTTTATTATTTTCTTTAAATCAACAACAGCAAATGGCAAAAATGAATTCTTTTAATTGTTCAAATGAAAATGAATATATTTTTGATTTTGTTGTGGATATGGATAGAAAAACAGTTTTTTGTGTTGGAAGGTTTGTTTTTTAAAAATTTTTTGAAGAACTTTTGAAAAAATTTTTTCGGAATTTTTAACAAAATTATTAGCCACTAGGGACAAAATGGTCAGAGCTCAAAATATTATTTTCCTGGTGTTCTAGACAAGTATGAGTGGTCGTAAAAAATAGTTTCTTCATTATAAAGAGACTTTTATCTATTAATATCAGAAAATATATAAATTTGACCATTTTGGTCTTTTATCAATTTTCAAACTTTTTTTGGAATTTTCTAAAAAAATTTTTTTAATTTAAAAATATTTTCTTCCATTTTTCCTTTAGAAGAATTCACAAAAAATATTTAAAAATATTATTCTTTTTTATTTAAAGACAAGGAATTTATTATTTCCAACCAACAACTATTAATTTGCCTTCTACAGCAATATCAGAACTAAAATTTCTACAATTTTCTCCACCTTTAAACAATTTTATTTTAAATGAATTAAATTTGTGTGAAGACCAATTACCTTTAAATTCATTATATAAAATTCCTTTAAATGGAAAAAATTTGGAAGATTATAAAAATAAAAAAGAAGAAAAATTGGGGGAGAAAAAGAAGAAAATTATGGGGGAAGAAGAGGAGAATTGAGGAAAAAAATTATTTTTTGTTGTGTTTTTGGTAAAAAAATTTTTTTTTATTTATTAAATAAATTTTAAAAAAGTCTAAAATAATTCCCAAATATTTTTAAAATTATTTTTAACAATTTAAATCAAAAACAAAAATGACGGGCTCAGCCGGTGATCGAAACCGGGACCTCTCGCACCCAAAGCGAGAATCATACCACTAGACCACTGAGCCTACATTGTGGATAATGATAAAATTCCTTTTAAATCCCATGTAAATAACTTAAAGCTGTTGAGAGTTGCTGGGAGAGATTAATTCTGCCCAGTTTTAGTTCAATTTCAATTCCAATTTCTATTAAAATATTAGAACAAAAAATTTTGAGGATTCATAAAAATTCCTTTTATTTGTTACAAATCCAACTAAAAATAAGACAAGTTTACCCACAAACAAACACCATACAAATAAACAAAATTGAGAAGGGAAGGGTTGAGAAGGTAATATTTACACTCGAAAAGGGTAAAAGTATAGGAGACTTATAATAGTTAGGGATAGGGTGAATATTAAAATTAGAGTATCACACAAAATTTATTCTTCTATACACTTCACTTCTTCCTCGTCGACGTTCCCATCTTCCTTCTTTTTCGCCCATTCAAGTCCCGTCTCGTTTAAACGTATTATCGTAGTCCTCTGAAGCTTTGTCGAAATATCCTGTCTTGTTTTGGGTGTCACCAACAGTCGGCCTCTCTTCAGTAACCTCAGTAGTTGTCTTTACAGTCCCCCCAGTGCCAGTAATTCCCGGAGTTCCAAAATAATCTTCTAATGGTTGTTCTTCCTCTTCTTCCTTCTTACGGCACACCAAGAGCCAGACAAGACAGCCAATGATGATGAGAACGCTGAAAATTGAGAAAAAAATTTTTTTGAAAAATTTTTTTGAAAATCTCACATCATAAAGACGATGACCGTGATAATGACAATAACGACCACACGTGAGCTTTTTGAAGCTGGGGAAGGCTCTGTTTCTTCTTCTGTCCCTTCTGATGGTGTTTCTGTTGTTTTTCTCCTTTTAGGGGGTTTGCTGTCAACTTGTGAAGTCCTTGTCGGTGGCGGCTTTGATGTTGGTATCGGCGGTGTTGTCGGTTCGATTGGTTTTGGTGTTGTCGTCGGCTTTTCTTCAGGAACAAGCAATTTGAACTTTTCGGTACTCTTAAAAGGATTGAAAAAGGATCAAGTCAATGTCTAGCTCAACAATTCAATCTCACCAATTTAATGAACAAATAATCACAGTTTGGTCCATCCAGCATCTCGTCCTCAAGTCTTCTACTGTATATATTACAACGCTTGTTATTACTCGTCTTGATATCCCCACCACTCCGTGCCGCTTTCTGTGGCAGCAAGTAGAAGGTGAAGAGATATTTGAATTGCTTGTCTGTGTGACTCTCATCGGTGATCTCCCAATGTTTGATGGTTCTGAGATGCTTTTTGCTGAAGCAGAATGGGTCTCCCTGATTATCGTCCAAACAATAATCCCCAATCTTTGTTGACCATTCCTTATTGTCGTTGTCGATGTTGAGAGTAAAACCAAAATTGTCTGCAAACCCCATATTAATTTTGAAGGTTTCCTTGTAACTTCGCTTGTCGTAAACTTTTTTGCCGTCCAAAGTGCTAAACAATATATTAGGCTCGTCAACTTAAATTTGGGGGAAAAATAAATTTTTGGCATGAGGGGAAATGAGGGTTCTCACCTAGCGTCAACATGGGCATTATATATTCTCTGTCCCTGCCAAATCCCACCATAAAGTCAGCGACCTTCAAGCAGTAGCCTTTATTATCCAAACACTGCCTTTCATGCCCGCAGTCACCGCTTTCCCCTCTTCGAGCTTGATTCTTGCCATCTTTGAGCTTCTCAAATTGACCTTCTCCAAGGCTGTACGTGAACGGTAACCTGAACAAAAATAAAAGCGTGCTGCTTAGCGTTAACTGAATTTCACTCACATATTGTGATAGCCTTTCAAGCACTTATTATTAGAGAATTTGACGCCAATATAAACTTTAAGCTCTGGTTTCTCCTCGGCGACCAGATCCAAGACGCATCCTTCTTTAGCCGCTCCGTCCTTCTTGTACAAGATCTTTCTGTAATAAAAAATCAAAATTTGGTTAAGCTTCAAGTAAGCGTTTAAGACTCACATCCATTCTTTGCCATCCCACTCCACATCATGACACGCCTCTGGCAGATTCTTCAATGAAGACAAGTCCGCGCCCTCTTTGACCATCACCATGTTACTGCCCAGCTTTGAGATCTTCCCATTCCCGTCCAATTCATGCTTGCCGGCACCGACCTTTGCGCATTGAACCAAGCCTCCAAATAAAAGAAGAGCAGCAACGAACAGAAGAGAACACGAGAACAGCGGGGAGCAGCGACGTAGTTTTGCCATACTGAACATGTTTTGGAACTTTTGAAGTGAAGAGAAGAAAAAATGTTGTTTTAGTTGGAGTTGAAGAAAGAGGATAAGGATTGGTTGTAAATCAAAGTACTTTTATAGTAAAGGTGACCGGTACCGGCCGATCAGGTTTATCTCTCGGGACTTTTCTGAATCCTGACTTTCGCTAAGAGACAGATACTAAGACGTACATAGTACCTCTATTAATTTTCTCCAATACCATAATTAGCTCTCAAATCCTCATGGCCTTCTCAAGTTCCAAAACTTTTTTTCATGTATCCTTCATAAATTTTTCAAATTCAAAAGATTTCAAACAATACCCTCAAAAATATTATAATCTATTCAAAAATATTATAGAAATTAACAACAAATTATTTTATAAAAACGAGCCAAATTTCAAATGTGTGTTTTGCACAAAAAAATCAAAAAAGTCTTTTTTTTTCAACTGATAAAATGAGAACAATTTGGCAGCGGGTTTTCTTTGATATTTTATCAAAGAAAAAAAAGTTTGGTTAATCAAAAAAAATTTTTTCTTGTTTTTTTTCTCCTCTTGATTCCTGAAAATATTCTCAAAGTGATTAACCAAATTTACAAAAAACAAAACAATATATAATTGAGGAATACAAAAGATAATATTATTTGCGAGAATGTCTGAATAAAAATGTGCTCATTTAAAAAATATAAAGGAATTTTTTTAAAAATTTTTGTCAGTCACAAAAAATTTTTTTTTAATTTTTAATTAAAAAACTTTTATCATGACCAACAAACAATAAAAAAAAACAACAAAAACCGGGTTAAAAACAAAAATATATAAATAGACCAAAAACAAAAATTGAAGAAGAGGAGGAGGCATGTAGAAAAGGAATTAATAAAAATTAATAACAACAACAAAACAAACTCTTTTCTATTTTAAAACAAAAAAAAAATTCTGTTTTTTATTTGTCCTCGAAATATAACTAAATTCCTAATTGGAACCTTCAAGATGTCGAATGGCCAAAACAAGAGACTTAAAAATTAAAAAAAATTTTATTTTTAATATTTTTTAAGTGTTGTAAAGGAGAACCCGACACTAGAAGGGTCGATCAGTTTTTTGTATTAAAAATTGAATCGAGCGGAACTATAGAGGTCCATATCAACTCAGAAAAAAATTGACCAAAAATTAAGGGTTGTTAACAGAATCCGACCGAAATCGGGATTGATGTCAAAAAATCAAAGTAAAAATCGAAAAAAAAATATTCAGATTTCTTATTATCCAAAAAAAATTTTTTGTAGAGACCGACACCCCTTTTAAATTATTTTCTTCCTCCTAAATCTCCCAAATAAATTAAAAATAAAACCTGAAGATTTCTTTGAGAAATAGAAAGTGATGCATTCAATCCTCCACCACCACTACTATTAGGACTTGTTCCATCCAATAAATTATTTGTTATTCCTGTTTGATGATCATTTTTGATATTTGGAGAAATTAATAATTGTGAATTGTTTGAAATTTGTTGATGTTTTTGTTGCTCCAAAATTAAATGAGAAGTTGGATGATTGTAAGTATTCTCATTAATTCCCTTTCCAGCAGCAACAACAGCTTTAATTAATTGGTGTGCAGCAACAGCAGCATTAGAAACCCCGGCTGTTGAGGCGATAGAAAAAAGTGGAGAAGAGAGAATGTTGGTCATTCTAATGAAAATAAAAATTTTAGAAAGTTTAAAAAATAAAAAAAAATTTTTTATGAGTAAGAAAACATTTTTTAAAATGTTATTCTTAAACTTAAGCTGAAGAAAAAAGAGAAAAACCCCAAACGGGTTCGAACCTTTAACTTTCCCTCTTAGAAACCTATCCGTAACCCAATACACCAGATTGAACATAATTTGTATTTCATAACTTTAACTCCAAGTACATAAAAATTAATGCACTATTAAAATAAACTAACCAAAAACCTCCACAACCCAAAAATTAAATTAAAAAAAATTTTCAACAAACCTAACAGCATCATTTTGAGGAGAAACATTTCCCATACCAACACAATTATTACTATTTGCATTATTAATCACCGGTTGTTGACAAAATAAATTTGAAGTAGAAATTGTTCCTTTTGAAGAAGGGGAAGTTCTTTCATTTAAATTATTTTCTGATGTTTTTCCTTTAAATTCAAACAATTCTTTTTCGTATTTCTTTAATTAAAAATTTTATTTTTAATTTTAAAAACAGTCAAAAAACCATTCTTAAATAAGTCTCATTTTGTAATAAAATACGCAATTCTTCGATTGTTTTAATACATTCATCTAATGTTGGCGCTCCATTTTGTTCTAGAAAAAAATTATTATAAATATTTTTACGAAAAAGTCTCATCAAACGAATTCCAGATCTCGTCTAGAATTCCCAAGAAAGTACACACTTCCCAAAAATGGTCACGAAAATTATTTTTAGGACGCATACCCTTATGAGACACACGGGCATATTTTCCAAATTAGAGAACATAAAAAATTTTCCACCTCGAGAATGTTCCGCAACAAATTCCGACACTGGTCTATGATTCCCAATTAACAATAAGTATATGCGCTTCGATAATGGACGCATAACTTATTTTTAGGA